TACACTACCCCCCCCCCTAAGGAGGTCCTCCTTACGAAAGTGCGTGTACATCCCTGAAATTTCGGCTGCGCAGATACTCGGTGAGGACGGGGTGGTTTTCGATTCTGTCCAGGGGAACCCAATTGTCTTCGGTGGGTGTACGGTCCTTCCAGCGGAGTAAGAACTCGATCCTTCGGGCTCCTCGAGGGTCGCGAACTCTGTGACTCAGGATTTTCTCGGGGGTGATGATTGGTTCAGTTGGTGGTCTTGTCATGCTGGCTGGGCGATTGCGTGGCAGTTGGCTCGTGGACGGGACGTAAGGGCGAAGTAGGCTGACGTGGAATGAGGGGCTGACGTACCAGTCAGCAGGGAGGAGGAGGTGGGTGGTGACGGGTGTAAGCATGTGGCTTATGCGAAATGGCCCGCAGTATCAGGGGCGGAGTTTCGGGGTGATGGGCAGTCGGAGGTTCTGAGTGTCAAGTAAAACTAAGTCGTCGGGCTGGTAAGTGACAGGTCTGCGGTGGCGGTCGGCGTTGCGTTTAGCGATGATGTTCGATTTTTTTATTGCGTCTACTGGCCGGGTCCGTGCTGCTTGTAATATTTCGGCGAACTGTTGTGCTCGTGGTACTGGGTTGTCGGGATTCGGGGTCATGGGTACTGTCGGGTCTTGTCCGTAGTTTAGGTAAAATGGTGACTGTTGGGTCGTGGCGGATGGCGAGTTGTTGTACGCGAATTCGATAAGTGGCAGTTGCTGTTCCCACGTGGTCGGGTCGTCACACGTGGCCCTGATGAGCTGTTCCATGGTCTGATTTGTCCGTTCTGTCTGTCCGTCGGTTTCGGGGTGGTATGATGAACTGAACTGCAGTCGCGTGCCGAACTGCTACCACAGGTTCCGCCAGAAGTTGCTGGTGAATTTCGTGTCGCGGTCGCTGATGATCGCGGCTGGTATCCCGTGCAGTCGAACGACGGTGGAGATGAAGAGGCGTGCTGTTTCTTCGGCTGTGATTGATTTTTTGCAGGCTGCGAAATGTGCCATTTTCGTCAGTCGTCGTTCCCACTCGCCCCGGCTGGTAACCCCGTGATGAAGTCCATCGTCACCTGCTGCCAAGCACGCTCTGGGGGTGGTATCGGCTGCAACTGTCCCGCCGGCCGCTGTCGTGATGATTTTATGAGCTGACAAGTGGGACACGATGCCACGTGTCGTTGTACGTCGGTCAACATTTCGGGCCAGTAATAATACCGCTGCAGCTGCTGCCGTGTTTTTTCTACTTCAAAATGCCCCGAGGTAACTCCGTCGTGTGCCTCCTGTAACAGTAATTCCCGTAGCAGTGTATACCCAGGCACCCAAATGCGGTCAGTCCCGGTTTTTACGTAATAGACTCCCTATGCTGCTGCGAACTGCTGCGAATTTCCTCCTGTGAAGAATGGATCCGTTTGGTACCCGTGGGTGAATAGGCCTATCAGTAGCGGGCTTGTCTGGGCGAGTAGTATTGCGTGGATCTGAGCAGTGGGGCGGGTCAGTGCGTCGGCGATGTTCGAGGCTCCCTTTTTGTAAGTGACCGTGTAGTGAAAGTTGGACTCGAGGAAATCGAGCCAGCGAATCTGTCGTGGGTTGAGGTGTGGCTGTGCGCGAAGGTACTGTAGTGATTTATGGTCTGTCCGTACTGTCACGTCCGCGCCAGTCAAGTAACAGCGCCATACTTTGAACGCGTGCATGATCGCAAGCATTTCGCGGTCGTGTATCGGGTAATTTTTCTCGGGCGGATGCAGTTTTCGTTACTCGTATGCGATAGGCTGTAGGCCATTGCCGAAATCCTGTAGCAGTACGGCTCCGATGGCGATATCGCTTGCGTCGGTAACTACTTCGAATGGGCGGTGTGGGTCGGCGATGCGCAGGACGGGCGGTGAACAGAGAACATTTTTCAGGGCAGAGAAGGCACCATGCTCTTTCTCCCCCCACGTAAAAGTGACCCCCTTCCGCAGTAAATCCGTCAGTGGGGCAGTTAACCGTGCCATATCGGGGACGAACCGACGCACATAATTAACGAACCCTAAAAAGCTCTGCAGCTCCGTGATGTTCGTCGGGGGATGCCACGCTTTTACCGTATCAAGCTTCTTTGGGTCGATTTCAACTCCAGCCTCCGAAATAACGTGCCCCAAAAATTCTAACCTATCCTGGAAGAACTCGCACTTGGAACCCTTGGTCAGTAATCTGTGCTCGTCTAAAACCTTAAATACTGCTTCCAGATCTGCTAAGTGCTGCTGCTTATCCCGACTGTACACTAGGATGTCGTCGAGGTAAACTATTACACATTTATCTAAGAGCGGCCTAAATGCCTCGTTCATGGTCATCTGAAAAGTCGCCGGTGCGTTGGTCAGCCCGAATGGCATCACAGTGTACTCGAACGACCCGTACCTAGTCTTGAAAGCTGTTTTCGCGCAGTCCGATGGTTCGACCTGTCAGAATCCCAACCACTAGACAATTTGGGATAAAAGGGCTTGTTAAGTAGCGGGTCAATGCGCCCATAACCCCCCAGGACAACGAGCCTGTAACCCTTCCCTAGGATCAATCGGGGATCACCAGTGGACCTCTGACCCGACCCTAATCTGATGGTAACCTCCCCGTAAATCTATTTTCGAAAAAACCCGTGCTGTTCGCAGTTGGTCGATCAGTTCGTCGGCGCGGGGAATGGGGTACCGCGACTTGACTGTTACCCTGTTCAGTGCTCTGTAGTCGATACACATGCGAAAACCCCCGTCTTTTTTCGGCGTGAATAGTATCGGTGCGGCCAACGGTGACGAGCTCGGTCTGATGAATTTTTTCTCTAACAGGTAATCTAACTGCTTCCTTAGTTCGTCGAGCTCGGGCTGTGTCAGTCTGAACTGGCGCTGTACGGTTGGCTGTGCCCCCAGTTCTAATTCGATTCGGTGGTCATGTGCTCGCTGAGGTGGCAGTCCTTCCGGTAAGTCGTCGGGGAAAATCCCGGGGTATCGTTTCAACAGTTCCTGTAATTCGGGCGGTACGGCTGCCAGCAGTTTCTTGAAATCACTCGGCTGCTCTGCTTCCTCTACTACTGCGATGTCTACTGCGTACACGTCAGCTCCAGCAGCGACAGCCCGTTTCATTGTGATGGCGTTGACGTGTACCGTTGAAGACTCGGGCGACTGCCAGCGAGGTAGCTCGACCCAGTTACCACTACTTCGCACGGTGCAGCTACCCGTCGTCCAGTCAATTCGCGGGTTATACCGTCGCAGCCAATAACGTCCCAGTAAAATATCGTGCCCATCCAGTGTCGTTGCGAGCATTTCCTGTGTAAACCCGAAATTTCCCCCGCAGCGGACTTTGACTCTCTCTACCTTTTCCCGTATGGCCAGTGGCGTGCCGTCGACTAAGCGTGCGTCTATCTCCGGTAAGCAACGGCTAAGTGTCAGCTGCAGTTTTCGTGCGGTTGCGGTATTAACTAAACTGTGGCTTGCTCCTCCGTCGATAAAAATCTTCACTGCTGCTCCCTGTATTTTCCCGTGGATCAGTACTGGGCAATCCGTCGCTGTACCCTCCTTATTCGTCCGAGTCCGATCGATAGCATGAATCGGTACTGTGACTCGGTGAGGGTCGGTGGGGTTGGGCGAGCAGGCAGTCTCGTCAGTAGTTGGCCCGATTCCTACTGACTGCTGGCGTTTCCCTGCTTTGGAGACTCCCTCCCCTGCTCTGCTCCGCGGCGCCTTAGCTCCTCTGGGCATTCGCTCTTGCGATGGCCCGGCCTGTTGCAAGCAAAGCAGCGCCCCTTAAATGGCGCGGCAGCTGCATTCGTCGCACCAGCGTGTACAGTGGCGTGCTCGATCGGTCCCCGAGGACGATGTCCGTAGTAGGACCCCGGTCTCGGACGGCGTAAAATGTCGATTTTCTCGGCGAGCGCGAGAAACTCGTTGAAGTTCGAGAGCCCGCGTAGCATGATTTCGTGCGAGATGTCCGGCTTCAGCCCTCCGACGTAACGGTCCACCCGCTCCGCTTCGTGCATGTAGCCGACTTGCTCGCATAATGCGAGAAAAACACTCGTATAGTCTTGAACCGATCCAAGCTGCCGCCAAGTGCGCAATCTCTGACGCGCCGAAATAGAAGCCGCGATCGGCTCGAAGCGCGCCCGAAGCCCTGCGCACCACGCATCCCACGTGCTGTATTGGGCGGTCTCGCAGAATGAACTCCAGGTGACAGCTGGGCCCGTGGGCCCTTCCTCTTGCGACGGTGGCTCGTAGGCGCGTGGCGACGTCACGATGACTCGCCACCAGTCCATGGCGGGGCCCCTTAGCAGCGAAACGGCATACCGAATCTTCGCTGCGTCCGACTCGACGTAATTCGCGTCGAAGAAGACGTTCATCGTGTGGTGGCGCTGGAGTGTTCACCGTTGATTGCTGACGCGCGGAGTCACGGTCCGTGAGCGTCGCAATTTCGAGCGCCGAATCTTCAAGTTGGTGCACCAGACGGTCGAGCTGCTCCTGCGTCAATGTGGCGAGCGTGAATTCGGCCATGGCGGGGGTGTCGGGCGAGCTCAGCGAGAGCCTCGGTCGTGGCCATGCATGCTTACGAGAGAGCACTACGAGCGGCGGTGCTGTGTCGCTGAGAGACGTCTACCCCCCCCCAAAAATTGAGATAGTGGGGAAGCGAAGGTGTGGGTGCGGTCCGAGAGGAGATCGTAGGCTCTGAATACCAAGTGTTACGAGTGCAATTGAGTGAACGAACGAGAATTGCACTATCGAAGCAAGAGTCCAATGAGCGAAGGCATGAGCGAAGAATATATAGCGAAACTACAGTGCTAACGGTAATGGACTGTGGTTGTCGCGCGACGGGCCTGGGACTGAGGTTGGGAAAAAGTGTCGAAGCGGAGGCCCGGAGCGCGGGTTACCCGCCGAGCCGTGAGGTCGGGGTGCGATGTGCGAAGGTGGCGGGCGGATTGTCGATGCGAGGGTTGCGAGTGGTAACGGTGCTGACTGTGGTGCTACAGTGATGTACGCGTTGAGCAGGGATGCGAAGTAAGGAAAAGGAATTTTCCTTACACCAACACAAGAGCTCAGGGGCAGGTTTGGGTCACATCCGAACCTCTTGCGTGACAGGTTTGGGAAGTTGCACTTTGTGCGACCAACACTGACGACGGGAACACAGATTGTGCAAGGGAGTGAAGTGATAGGGAAAAATCAAGCGCCAAGGTTAGCACTCCAGCCCTACCTCCTTACACGTAGTAGAAGCATTACCACTCCATTAGTAACCTAGCTCCTATCCAAAGGCGTCAAAAGGACAAAGAATGTCACGTAACAGGGGTGAGCAGCAGTAGCGCTCCCCTTTGCCTATGCTTATGATTAGGTAATAGCCGTCATCTTCCCACCACCCGACCTCCGCTTCCCCGCCACCCCATCTCCCCTGCTCGCCGACCGATCTCCCGTGCAACCCGCCCGAGTTCCCGTTCCCGCGGCCCGATCTCCCATTTCTGCCGCCCAATATCCCCTTCTCGCCTCCTCTTGCCTCCCCGCGCGTGCTCCTCTCGCCTCTCAGCGCGTGCTCCTCTTCCCTCCCAGCGCGTGCTCCTCTCCCCTCCGCGTGCGTGCTCCTCTCCCCTCCGCGTGCGTGCTCCTCTCCCCTCCGCGTTCGTGCTCCTCTCCCCTCCGCGTGCGTGCTCCTCTCCCCTCCGCGTGCGTGCTCCTCTCGTCTCCCCGCGCGTGCTCCTCTCCCCTCCCCGTGCGTGCTCCTCTCGTCTCTCCGCGCGTGCTCCTCTCCCCTCCCCGTGCGTGCTCCTCTCGCCTCCTCGCGCGGCATCCCCCCTGCACGCCCTCATTTCCCCCCCTGCACGCCCTCATTTCCCCCCCTGCACACCCTCATTTCCCCCCCTGCACGCCCTCATTTCCCCCCCTGCAGGCTCTCATTACCCCCCTTTTATGCACCCGTTTCCCCTCTGCTCACTCTCTTTCACCCCTCACTCACGCGTTTTCCCCTCTGCTCACTCTCTTTCCCCCACACTCACCATTTCTCCCCTCTGCCCACTCTGTTTCCCCCGACATTCACCTTCTTACCGAATTCTCACTTTTCATTCACCCCTTTTTCCAATCCCGCTTCCCCTTTTCCATCTCTCCTTCATGCCTCCCACCACCTCTCCCTGCCTTCCTTGCTTCTCTCCTTATCTCCTTCATGCCTCCCACCATCTCGTTTTCCTTCTCATCTTTTGTGGGCCACATCACAAGGCCCGTCTGCCCTCTCACACTCTTCCTGCCATTCTCACTCTCACAATCCTCACTGCCGTCCCTTCCTTCCTGTAACCAATCTCCCCTCCCCCCTTTTCCCTTCCTTCCCTCCACTTCCTCCCCTTCCCTTCCTTCTCTCCCCATCATTCCCTCCCCTTCCTCCCCTCCCCTTCATCCCCATCCCTGCCCTTTCCTCCCTGCCCTTCCCTTCTCGACCCCGCCCTTCTATGTCACTCCTCGCCTTCTGCCCTCCAGTTCATGTGCATGTGCTGCCATCACTTTTGCCCCATACATGCATCTTATTAACTCATGTTTACTCGCTTGTATTCCCTTTTCACCCTCCGTCCCTTCAAATCTCCCCTCACTTACTACCCATCTCCCTGCCTTTCCATCACACCTCCCTGCCTTCTCATGGATTTGAGGCACCATTGCGACACCAGGTGTCATACAACCTGTAATGCATACGCAAAGCTACAAGCTACAAGCCAGTATAGGAACATGCCAGTATTAGGGACATGCCTCTATCTATCGTTCTGACACTCTCAGTGTCCATACATCTTGGAAGAATATCTTGCACTGCAGAAAGAAAAGTACATATTGTGCCTTTGATATGGATATCTCCTACACTAATACAGTATCATGCTTGCATACAACACACAAGAAAAACAGGTGGTGGTACGGTGTAGAGCGTGGACTAGCTTTAGCTGCGCCTCAGCTTGCTCCTCTGCTTCACCACTGCAAATACAGGGAGTGGAGTAGGCAGGAATAATTGTGTGAAGGAACATGGGGGAGGTGGTGTGAGGTGCCAAAGGAACAACTGCAAGGGAACACAAGCAAGCGCACATGATGAAAGCATGTGGGGAGACAGTGATGGGTGCACATGCATGGGAACTACGGTAGTGGGCGGGTGAGGTGTGAAGGGGAAGGGGAGGGCATGAAAAGGAAGGGAAGGGTTGAGAAGGGATGGGGAAGGGAAGCGCAGGGCAGGGAGGGAAAGGCAGGGATGGGGAGGGCAGGGTGGAACAGGGCAGAGGGTGGGGGGAAGGAGGGCTGAGGGGATGGGGGGAAGCAGGAAAGGGGATGGGGGGGAGCAGGAAAGGGGATGGGGGGAAGAAGGAAAGGGATGGGGGGAAGCAGGAAAGGGGATGGGGGGAAGCAGGGAAGGGGATGGGGGGGAGCAGGGAAGGGGATGGGGGGAAGCAGGGAAGGGGATGGGGGGAAGCAGGGAAGGGGATGGGGGGAAGCAGGGGGGGAACGGAGGAGAAGCAGGGGGGGAAATAGAGAGCAGAGGGGAAATTGATGGAAAAGCAGAGCGGGAATTGATGGGGAGCAGAAGGGGGAATGACGGGATTTATCGCAACCCGTCGTTCGCACCTAATCAGGGCGGCAGGGAGAATGAGTGGAAAGGCAAGGGGGGTGGAGGAAAGGAAAAGGGGTTGGGGAGGAGAGAACGGAGATAGGGAGGATGAACGCCGGCAAGCAGGAGCGCATTTCCTGTCTCCACTCACCTCCCCTCCCATTTCCTCCCCTCCACATCCCACCTACCCCCTCCCCTCCCCCCCCTGCTCCTTCTCCCCGCCTCCACTCCTACCCGCCTCTCCCCCACTCTCCTCCCGCTCCTTTCTCTCCCTCTTCCGCCGCCTCTCTCCCGCCCTTCCCCTCCTCTCTCCGCTCCTCCGCTCCCTACTTGCTCCTGCTTCGCTCCCTCTCCCACTCCCCCGCTCGGCCCCCATCCCCCCTGCAACCAGTCGACGGCAAGCTGGACGACCGAGTTTTGGGACATGTTTGGCGGCTTCGCGCCACTGGCTGCACTTGCGCTCGCAATCGCCCCACTCGTCCAGGCGCTGCTGCACTGTGCGCTATTCTTGTGTTGTGCTGTATTACACGATGTGCTCTTCACCCTGCTACGCCAAGGACCTGCATTCATGCATGACCATGCACGCCCCCTCGTCGCGTCCCCTCCCGTCCCTCCCGTTCCGCCCCGTACCGTCGCATCCCGCCCCTTCCGCGTGCTCCTCTTCCCTCCCTTCCATTTGCGTCCGGTCTCGTCGCATCCCGCCTTCCCGTCACGTCCCCTCCCGGCCCCTCATCGAGATTCTTACCTTCCTGTGCCGTCCCGTCCCGTCCCTCCAGTCCCTTCCCGTCCAGTCCTGTCCAGTCCCGTCGCTTCCCGTACTGTCCCGTCCTGCCCCATCGCGTCCCTTACCTGGCGCGCCTCATTACCTGGACATGGTTCACGATAAGCACGGGATGTACCCTGGTCGCCGCTGATACTGATAAATGAAGACCTAATTTCAAGTTTATAGGTCGGCCGTATATGCTGATCAACGAGAATCTAACTTTTGTGTAAGAGGTAACCGCGGTTGCTAGTGGAAAGAGTTTTACTCTTGAACCTGAGCCTAGTGCTAGTGCGAAATCGGGTTTCTGAGTTCTGCCAGTCTCATATTTTTCAGCTGTTGTAAATGCTTGATTCGTGCGACAACCTGGTCGCCGGTGGGGGAGTTTGGGCGATCGTGTTGTCGCCATGCAGGTGTGTTTTCCAAACCTACCTAGGTGCACGATCGCATGATTGGTTTGGCACGTCCCTGCGCATACCGCCAAGCAAGTTTGTAGGTTCCCAACCAATCGTTTCAACCTGGGCCAACCTTCAGTGGAGTTGTACGACAGTTTGAGGGTTACCGGATACCAAGCGTTTAACACTTGGTTGGGACACAGAAATATGAGACGCGAGCTTTAAGAACCTAGTTGCTTGTGTAGCGAGAGAATAATAAGACTAGGTCAAAGGAGGGAATACAACCAAAGTGTCGAGAAAGTTTTGTACTCCCTAACATGCAACTCACTAGAGCATATCTATATCTACAAACATAGATTGACACACTGGAGACCCCCGATTGATCATAGGGAAGGGTTACAGGGGTTATGGGCGCACTCACCCGCTACACAAACAAGCCCTTTTATACCAGTGGTTAGTGGCTGTGATTCTGATATGGTATCAGAACGAAGGTCTCGAGTTCGAAGTCCAGTGTGTGCACCTTGGGCATCCCAGTGCGGGGGGGTGTCAGAGGTCCACTGGAGATCCTCAATTGATCCTAGGGAAGGGTTATAGGCACGTCGGCCTGGGGGGTTATGGGCGCACTCACCCGCTACACAAACAAGCCATTTTATCCCAGTGGTTAGTGGCTGGGATTCTGACAAGATTTTCGGGTGGGCAGTTTCTGGTTAGTGTAGTACAACCACATGCAGTGGGTGAACTGAATCAAAGGCATGTACATAATCTAATCTCACCATGGAGCATGCCGCCAAACAGCTCGTTTCCTACCAGCCACTCAAAACACTTTAGCTCCCTCTAGTCCTCCATGGATGGCCATGACTCCACTTGAAACAGCTTCGCGCCGCCCATCTGCTGCAAGTCCCATATTCGGTACTTCATCCTTGCCACAATCTCCTTCGCGAAACCTGTGCACAACTTCACACAGTCGGCAAGCGAGCCCCCAAACTTGTGCTTCTTGAAGGGTGCCTCGCTTAGTTCAAAACGATGTGATGTCGACCGTCCATCCACGTCAATCCCTTCAACCACCAACGTCCGATTTTCCCCGCCATGTTCTTTGATGAATCGAGACAGAAGCGTGCTGACCCCGCCTCCAAATGTCTCGCCGTACTCGATGTACTGGTGCGTGATGATTGTGATCGTGCGGTCAACTTCCTTCGCGACTTGGGTTATGTTGACATGGTAAAAACGGGCATGACAAACATGTTAGCACTGTAAAAATACAGGCACCAGAGTGTTTACAATATAGCGTATACACTTGCCTTGCGGTGCTCGAAAAGCCGACTGAGGGAGTTTAGCTCTGCACGAATGTCAGCTAGGAAGTACAAACAAAAGTGAAACTTCAATGTTTGTACTGTTGCAGCAATCTTGTGACCATACTCCACAATCATTACGATCGCTGCCCTGAAAACGCTACACAGCCTAGCTACCGCGTCTCCCCGCGACAGCCACCTGACTTTGACTAAACCTTGATGCTCCATGTTGGTACGATGTATCTCCTGTTGCAGCTCCTTGAACCTCTCGTACCAAGTGCTCGAGCGGCAGATGATTTCCCCTATTGCACGCACACCAGCATCGGTCATGTCAAGGTCGGGGAAGGCCTTCGTTGCATCCTTGACCACGAGCGCCTCTGTGCCACAAATTGGGAATGAAATTATAAAACATCAGTATTGCGACACCACGCGCAATTACACACGTATGATACCTAGGGTAAGCGACAATAACATTACCGATGTGCAACGCAGTGACACCCGACGACATGCAGAACGCGCTCCCGTAAGCGGAATACAAGGCCACCCTTATCGCCCGTCATCACGAAAGCCCCGTCGGTGCCGACGCCGGCCACCCAATTGATGTCGACACCGATAGATTCCAAGTGGCTCATGAGCACGGAAAAAAGCGAATGAGCGTCGCACTTTTGCACCGTAAGCACTGTGTAATGTAAACCCCGTAGGACTCAAGCGGGATGTCGGCAACTCCTTCTTCCGCCAAGAAACCAATGAGCTTCAGGAACATGGAGATCGGGGCGTCGAGGTTGTCGAAACAGCAGGCGAAAACGAGAAACAGAATAGAGGTGTTTTCACTAGCAGCAGTTGAGATACATATAGGAAACCCTAATTGGGTTGTACTCGCTATAGAGTACCCCACTGCAGGCTAGACAAACATCACATTCTGACACAACCCCATAGTCAAAGTGGGGTATAATCAGCACAACAAGCAGGCAGAGTAGTAGTTCACAAGTATAAGCAAAGCTAGAGGCAGTCACAAAGGGCAAGTGAGGAGGAGGAGAAACTGTGAGGGCGAGAAGATGGGAGGCGACGGCTGAAGCTGCAGACACAAAGGCAGCAGGAGTGCGCAACACTGTCGCTACCAGGCTAAACCCGGACTACACGACGACAGACGCAGCTGGCTCACTGTGCTCTCAGGAGTGCACACACTGTGGCTACCGGGCGCAGAGCCCCGGAATACTCAGGCCACAGGGGGTCGTGGCTCTCTAGACTACCAGGAGTGCTCACACTGTGGCTACCGGGCGCAGAGCCCCAGACTACTCAGGCTACAGGGGGTCGTGGCTCTCTGGACTTCAGGCGCTGCGGACGACAAGTCGGCTACCTCCGGTCAACCTCCCCCAACTATCTCACACCCCTTTCACACACTCCCTGCTGCACCTCTAGCACTGCTCACATGCCACCCCCCTCGTACCACTCCGACGGCTCCAACACATCCACCCCCCTCAGCGGCAGCTGCAGCAGTGGGAGACAGAGGAGGAGGAGGAGCAGGGGACGGTTCACACACCCGGCACCCCCATACTCTCCACCCCCAAACCCTAACACAGGAGCGCGGGCAGTAGCGGGGGCGGTCAAAAGCTCGGGACGAACCGCGCGCGGGCTGCCCGGGCCGCGCGCGGGCCTGGCGCAGCCCGTACGGGTCGCGCGCGGGCCTGGCGCAGCCCGTACGCGCCGCGCGCGGGCCTGGCGAAATCGTCGATGCCTTTCTGGTTCTCAATGTTCACCATCAGAGGCCGCTGCCTCTTGATAGCTTCGTCGTGGTGGCCACTCAGCTCGTGACATCTCATTGATCCGAGCTGCAGATCGCGTCCCCCGGTTCCGTTGCGACTGAACTTGTCGTCGTCCCTACCGTGCTCCACACAGACGCTGCATCGCAAGATAGGCAACCCCTCATTGTTCTTATTAAGAAGCCAATCAAATTTGGGCAGCCACTGAGTGATGTATAGCTGTTGCGCCTTCAAGAATTTCGCCTCTGCCTTTTTGGCATGGGTTAGTTCACGGGACACTGGCGCGGGAGCTTTGATGGGGGGCGAAGGCGGGGTCGGCTTCTCAGGCGGCGAGCCGAAAGGGAGAACGCATTGCGTCAAGCGTCGTTTCTTCGTCGAGGCAGCAAATGAAGACTCGCCGACTTCTGTTACGATGACAGTGGTGGGAACACTGTCGGGCGCGATAGCAGTGGAAGCAGTTGAACGAGCAAGAGGAAGCCTTTCGCCGCTGCACATTGACGGGCCTGCATTGCAGACAGGCGGAGGGTTCTGGTGCAGCCCTCGCTGGAAATCTAGGCATGTCCGCAGGGGAGTGTCGTTCGGTGTCTCGTCCTCAGCATCTCCTCTTTTATCGTCCTGTGTAGGTGCCATGGCTGCAGGTGTGTGTGGGGAACAACGTCTAACTCAGTTGGGAAACACAAATGAGAGAGAGGTCCCTCGTTACCAAACCGTGACCACAACCGTGCTGGTGCCCCCATTCCCCAGCGCAGATGTTTCCTATCGTGCAGGCAACCGAAGTTCGGAGCCACCCACATCTTTGCTAGGAACGCAGTGCCCAGTGGGCTAGTGGGCGCCGACGTTCTGCTGCACTCTGCTGGGTTTCCAGCAAACCCGGTCGTGTTGGCATGTCAGACAATAAGACCGAGTTGAGTCCTTGGCGTTGCCTCGAAAGAAACTGTAATTCTGGCCACTGGTGGCCCACTTCGTGCCAACCCATGTACTGTTGTGGCGCAAATTTTGGTTTTGACATTGAACAACGGGAATCCCAGGGTTACGGGAAAGAGGGAGGGGGGGGGGGGGGGGGGGTGGTACTCGCTTCAGGGTAAAAATCGCTAAAAAGAACGGTAACCCTGGGGCCACAGTGTGCCTTAAACGTAAACCCAGGCATATCAGGAAAATCTAAGCTCCTAGAAAAACTACCCTAAGGCAAATGTGCTCCTACAAAAAACCACCCTGATAATTA